AATTAATGTGCATTTGAACATTTTCACTGTGTGTTGTATTAATACAATTGTTATTTCGTCATACCTATTTTCGTCAAGTCAACGTGCAAGCGACACTCAATTCACTGATAACAAAAACGTATTCTTCAAGTTGTGAAACAATACACAAATAACCAACAAAAACGACATGGCACAATCTTCTGTAGCTGGCACAGCCTCTTCTGCCGCCGCTGGCGCTGGTGTGACGATTCCAGTCGACACTACTGGTGCCTTGGATATCGGTGTGGATATGAATTTAGTGGATATGAAGCACTGCTTCGAAAATCTCATAGTGATAGATGCGGGTGCGAATCTAACAAACAAAAAATATAGCCGTGATCTGGAATCAGTAATACAACGAGCAAAGGATGCGGGTAAGGTATAATGATATTGCCACAAAGTTGGCGTACATACTTGACCGTACATTTATGTATATGTAATTTATTTATGTATACGCATATAAATTAGCGTATAGTTGTGTTTTCAAGAAGATCTTTTGCGTTTTTCTTAGATAAGAATGTTGCGCCCTGTCATTCGAAGACTACTCTTAGTCATATCTGTATGCACCTATGTACATATGTATACCTACTCTATATATACCATAGTAACACACCCATTTATATGCACAAATATGTAAATAAGTAATTGTTCAGAAATATGTATCCCTATCTGACCTCAAAGATCTGTGAGAAGTCAAAGTTGTTATACGTAGATATGTAGGTACCTACATAGTTATTGTACATATGTACATACATATTATTAATTCCCATATGACTTAATGCAATAGCTGATTTTTATAATTTTCAATACTCATTCAAAATTAAATATTTCAATAGGAGTTCAGAAAATCATGGTTCCAGGCACATCGGTAAAATCTAGCAAAGAAGCGCTTCGTCTATCACGAATTTATCCCGATATAATTTATTCGACTGCTGGCATACATCCACACGATTCCAAATCGATTGTCGAGGAACCGAACACTTGGTTCGAGTTCGAGCATATTGCGGCTTCACAGGAATGCGTCGCTATCGGACCATGTGGCTTAGATTATCAACGTGATTTCTCTGAGCCAGAGACCCAAAAGGAAATTTTTGAAAAGCAGATACATTTAGCTTGCAATTTGAACAAATCTCTGCTTATACATGAGCGATCCGCCCAACAAGATGTACTCGATATCCTGGATAAGTAAGTTTTTATCCGCAACTGTTATTATACGCCAAGCGGCGATATGTATCTACATATCGATGGTCTTCTGCAATAACGGCAAAATTCAAAAAATAAGAACTTATAATTATATATATTATATAAATAGTAAGCATTACTAAAGCGAATATTAAGGATTAGGCAAGGATTAGAGACAAGAGTCACTCAACAGTAGTAATGGATATTGTTTTTTGAATTTTTAATTGTGTCGTTATTGCAGAGGACCATCGATATGAACATTTCTCTGCGATTAAATTTACAGATTCGAGACTTTACCACCTATAATCGTAAGAGGATTCATGGGAACGGCCGACGAAGCAGTCAAATATCTAAATAGGAGATTCTATATCAGTTTAACTGGTTATTTATGCAAGGTAAGATAAATTTTAGAGAAATCCGAGTTATTCCGTAAACAAATATTTTAAAGCATTAATTTTTATCCGACAAAAAAAACAGTTTAGCAATTCGTCGGAATATTTTTTGTATGTATATGCATATGTAGGTTATAAGATAACTTTGGATCACGTGAACAGATGATAATTTATTTTATGCCGAATTTCTACTAGGTATTGAAACGACACAAAATTGGTGGCATTTAAGATATGCCAAGTGGAAATGAACTTGAACGTTACGGCACTGCTTTTTTTTAAGGCTCAACTTTGTCATTACAATTTCTAGCATTTAAAGCCTAGTGGAAATTCAGCATTATTGGCAATAATTTTACAGATTAAATTTACAAAACAACTAAATGCAATTGTTTTTTTTTTTACGTTACAGGACAAATCAGATAGTGGAGTACGCAAACTCTTAGAAAATGGAATTCTTCCTATCGATAGACTGCTCGTCGAAACGGACTCGCCGTTCATGTACCCAAATACAAGAGCTTCCAAGCTGCCGCAACATGTTAAGACTGGAATAACGGAACGTTCGCTTTTATATTTACATAGGTAGATGTACCAGACAGATATTTACATAGGAATTATTCTTTCAATGGACTGATATTTTTCAGGTACTGCACCTTTCAACGCAACGAGCCTTGTAGTTTGCCCGCCATTGTAGAAATGATAGCTGCTTTTATGAAGAAAACGCCCGAAGAAGTAGCTTTAGCTACGGCATTCAATGCATTGAAACTCTTTGGCCTATCCTAAAAGTTAATGGCTGTGATATTACTTATGTAGACTGTCATACAATTGCTTAGTGCGACAAAATATCACTTAAAGCACATGCTTTCCAACCATAAAACAAGGAGTGAATTTATGCATATAGAGGAATCCAAAACGAAAGTGCCAAATTTTTATTTGTGGTAATATAGTGTTTTGTGAAAATTCCTTAATACGCTATGAACTACAAGACTTCAAAAGTGCCTTAAATGAAGTGCGAAATTCGGCAAACGGCTGATAATAAAGCAAACGATAAAAAAAAAATATTTTACTAAAAAGAAAATTATGTAATTAACGAATCGACACTTATTTATTATATATTACACATACATATGTATACCTACTAACAACGACGTGTTTTTAAAGCGCATGCAAATTCGTAATATACTCATATTAAATCAACTGAAAATTCGAATACACAAGTCGACCTATTAGTGTTAGTTGCAACTACATAAAAAAGTATATTTTGTTTTTAAGAACGTAAAACTAATTAGACTGCAAATTAAATCTGGATATTCGGTGAGGATATGGTTAGTAGGAATCGACCAGAGTTCCTTCTCGTGGAAAAACCCCTAACCGTGAAATGTAAATGAACGTACATACAACCATCATATACATATTTTTACACCATAAAAGCCAATTACGGAAAAATGCTTTCGTAATATTGGGGCGTATTCTTGTTTTCGTATGATTCGAAAATTCGAAATTTTTGTGTAGAAAATTATAGGAAAATTTCAGGATTTTCGATTCGTACGAAAACAGGGTTACGCCTCGATATGTTCATGTAGACTTTAATAAACACTTAACTACAGTAAATCTTAAATGAAGAATTTGTTTGATATGCAAACTATTTATTGACATAATCAAGATGTGCCTGCTTCAATGCCTTTTTCTTAAACCGTTGATCAAACTATGCATACAAATGAGTGCTTCGAAACTAGGAGAAAAATGAACAAGTCAAGCTGCAGCTGATTTGTTTTACTATTTTATTAGATTTTTTACGCCAAAACCTGTAAATATTTATAGTTCATTTTGTTCGTTATTTGTTGTTGTGCTGCGAAATGTTTATTGTGCTTCGCCAACTAATAACACAACATACATACATAAACGATAGTTATATGAATAGCATTTAAGACAAAAGCAATGTGCATGGTAACACAGTAAATGTGATCATTATTGTACTCTATTGTTATTTACATACATACACATATACAGATGTATGCTTACGACCATAAATAAACAAAAAAAGAGAAAACTTAAATGGCTTATTTTATTAATCCCGTAACGATAATTTTAATGAATTCTATTTCTTAAAGCAAACTAACAATCAGGAGACCACTCTAGTCAAAGTGCCGATCAAAAATTTCTTTGGTGTTTCCCGCCGCCTATTCGATGATGATGAAAAGATATTCCATTGTTTAGGTGAAGCGATGTATGAATTTTGTATCTTCAAACTTTTTTAATTGGTGCAAATTATCCCACCATTCCTTAAGTTTATGCTTTAGGATCAGTCTAAACCAAGGTGTCATTGGAGCATCGAATTTGTTCACAGCCTTGTCAATTTCATTACGCTTTACGAAGCGCACTTCGCTGACCTCATTCTCATTCGGATTGAGATCGACATCCTTTTGCAGGAAAAGTATATAATCGATTTCATGTTCACCCCACACACCATCACCTGTGTTGTGGTAATGTATGCGCGTCAAATAGTGAAAGTTTTCTGGTTGAATTTGTTCCGTTGGAATGCCAAGCTCATAGTTAAGCCGCCGCTGAGCTGCTCTTCGTATTCCTATCGCATTAGCTTCTTCCCGCTCCAATTCAATGTCGTGCAGTGGATGACTACAACAAGCGTTTGTATACGTGTCGGGGAATGTAATCTACAAAATAAATAATATAAATAAACTCTCCAATAACAAATGCAAAAAATGAAGCTACCTTGTGTACGGAACGGCGTTGCACAAGCATTTCTCCCTTAGAATTGAAAAGGAAGACACTGAAAGCACGATGTAATTTGACCGCTCCAGTCTCTCCATTCACTCGATGACAATCAGCTTTACTGCTGGCGCCAATGGCGTTATCATTCGGATCTACCAAAATGCAGTTCTCCTTGAGCGCTAGTGCCTGCTGGGCATCATGTACTCCAGTCATGGTGCTAGATTCTGGCGTTGCTGCCGCTGCTGCTGATGAACAATTTCTAACCCATATGTGCTTATGAAAACCACGGAGAGCCGATCCACGTAATCTTGATAACACTATCATTGTTTCCTTCAACGAAATGCAAATTCAAGTATTTAGTTGATTGAGTTCATTCTATTTTGGTACATTGATCATATGGTTTACATGGTCTGCAGAGTTGCATTCTGTAGGTATAGGATTAAAATTTATTGTGGACTAGATATAAATCGAAGAAAAACCTAAATCACTTGAAAATATCAGCAATGCACTGCATAGGTAAATCCTTATTTACATTTTATGAATGAATAGTTTCGATCTGGGTCATTCTGATAGAAATTGTTTATATCACTGCATGACCGACACTTTCAAGGAATCCACACGGATTTGAACGAACTGGATTGAGCAATGCGCATAAGGGTTAAAATAAAAGCAACACTGAATTGGCAACCCTGTTGTGCGTAATGATACAAAAAAATCAGAGAGGTTCTTTATCACAATTTTGACCAATTTGCTTGCTGGAGTATTGGGGAAAAGGCAAAATAAAATTGTTGAAAACTATGGTAAGCAAACAGCGAAACGCCCCTCAGAAATTGAAATTGGATGTAATTATTTGTTTTCGCAGATACGGTTCATTTTGATACAAAATCGTGCTGGTAAGACGCGTTTGGCCAAGTGGTATATGAATTTTGATGACGACGAAAAGCAGAAGCTGATCGAAGAGGTGCATGCAGTGGTGACAGTACGGGATGCAAAACACACAAATTTTGTCGAGGTAGGTGATGAATATAAAATTCAGGCTTTTGACACTTTCAAATAATATAACTTTCTTAACCTGTACCCACGAATCTGAGCGTGGGGAGGGAAATGTTAAATGCCAACCCAAATTTATGTGTATTCGGTCGGTGTAATTATTTGGAATGTCTTTTATATATTGAAATTGAGACTGCCAATTACTCTAGATTATACTTAGTATGTATATTATTTAATATTTTCTCATTCACAGTTTCGGAACTTTAAGATTGTGTACCGCCGATATGCCGGACTCTACTTCTGTATCTGCGTTGATGTAAACGACAACAATCTGTGCTATCTTGAAGCGATACACAATTTTGTGGAGGTACTTAACGAGTACTTCCATAATGTATGTGAATTGGACCTTGTATTTAACTTTTATAAAGTTTACACGGTAGTAGATGAAATGTTCTTAGCTGGAGAAATACGTGAAACGTCGCAAACAAAGGTGCTAAAACAATTATTGACGCTGAACTCACTGGAATAAAAACTGCTGCCATCGATGCATTCCATTAAATAAATGTGTTTATTCCGAAAATTAAGTACGTTTCAGGCGCAAGGATAATCCTACCTATGATTGGATATTGGAGTTTATGATGGTCAATCCATCAGTTTTCGAATTTTTTTCACCGCTTCCCCTTTCCATTATATTGATATGTTACCCAGCATACCTTTCTGCCCATTTAAGAAAAGTAATTAGTATTTGTTAAAGTGCTTGTAAAGTTATTGTAGACATAATTATTAATGAACATGTATTACTAATATGTTCTTACTCAAAGTCACACTGATATTTAAATAAAATATATAAATAACCAAATTAAGGCGTTTATATATATTAGATATGTACATATCGTCGTTTAAACTACAAAACCGCGTATCAACAAAATGCAATATCGCGTATGTGAGGTTCCATAAATTATTTTCTAGAGAGTAAAAACACTCACATTTCAAAATGGTTATTTTTTTTATAAAGCAATCGCATTTTTGGTTAGTATGTTTCAGGAAGGATTGAGCCAAGAGCTTGTGTGAGCAAATCCAATTTTTGGCAAACAAGGTTTTGCGCAACGACAATACGCGGTTTTGTACTGATATGATAATGATGGTTAACCGGCAAGTAGTGATAACCAGACATTGAACAACCGGCCCTAAACGACGATATGTATGTATATTAAAAGAAAATCTGTATACGGAAAAGGAAATTTTGATGCGAATTATGTTTGTTCAATGTCAAGATTTTTCGACCTGCATAAATCTGTACATATTGCACACCGTCTTCAAAAGAGTCACAACTCAAAATTTGTAATATTTGAGATTTGCGCTAAAAATGTACGCAGAGCTTTATTTACCTTTAAGCAAATGCTGGAGCAAATGGTATAGCAGTGCAACGTATACACTGTATCGGAGTATCGATATCGATAAATATTGGTCTAATGGTGGCCACAACTACAGTCAGTCAATAAAGTTTAGGTACAGCGATTTTTTTACAATACGGGCAACTATTTCTTAAATATTTTATTTTTCGATAATTTTGTATAAAAATATGATCAATTCTACAACAAAAAACCCAAAAATCAGAGTTCCAAACCTTGTGTAAAATTAAGGAAAATTTGGCAAAATTTCATTCAAATATTGCACTTTTTATTTACGCTCTCTAGAAAGAAGTTGAGTATGCAGTTTTTTAGCCCACTAAATTTTAATATAACAAAGTGCAAGTTTGTGGTGGCTAGGACTTAACATTGATTTTTATGAATTTTTTTTGTTGAAGGTGTCGCTCATTTTCTCCATATAAAATAATGTTTGATAATTTTTTTATATGGAAAAAATGTGCGACACCTTCAACAAAAAAATTTCCCAAAAATCAATGGTAAGTCCTAGCTTCCTCATACTTGCATTTTATTATACTAAAATTGAATGCGCTAAAAAACTGCGTACTCAAATTTTTTCTAGAGAGCGTAAATAAAAAGTGCAATATTTGAATGAAATTTTTTTTCAAATTTTCTTTAATTTTGCACAAGATTTGGAACTCTGATTTTTGGGTTTTTTGTTGTAGAATTGACCATATTTTTATACAAAAGTAATTAAAATTAAAATATCTAAAAAATAGTTGCCCGTATTGTAAAAAAATCGCTGTACCTAAACTTTATGGACTGACTGTATATTCTTTTTGACAAAGAACGAAAATGTATAACAAAGAACGTAAATCTATACGACGCGACACCTCGTTACCAAAGAACGTAAATCTATATATATATATATAAATTTACCTTTGCTTTGGCCAGATATTCTCAATTGTGTTGTGTCAAATTGTCTTATGTAAACGCAGCGTATTGTGGCAACCATTAGACCAATATTTATCAATATCGATACTCCGACTACTCCACTCGTTCAACTGATGTGTCAGAAAATTGTGCTATTTTGTGTGTGCGAGCGAGACAACAAAATTAAATTGATTGCGTGGAAGCGAGCGAATGCTAGTGAATTTTCTTCATCGTCATTTGTTCGTCGCCATTGTTCTTTCGTCGTCGTTGCTGTCGTTGAAAATCATCGAACGAAAAAATAAAAGTTACAGCATTCAATTGCAATATTTCTTAATAGAAAACAAATTGTTAAAAGGCAAGGAAAAGTCCAAAATATTAAACAGTAAGCAAAAATATTAGCAGCCGTTTGTTTCAAAGGAAAAAAAAAACAAATATAACTCTTCGTTGAAGTGAGATACAGCAGTGGAAAGTGTGGCTCGGCTGAAGAAAAAAATCATTTGATTAGCGCAGTAGAAGAAAAAAAACAACAGCTCGAATTCGTCTACGAGCAGAATATTTGAAAACGTTTTAGGTTTTCCCGAAAAAGCAGCTATGAATCCAGAATAGTAAGTGCAAATAAATAAATTTTAATTTTTATAATGCATACATATATATAAGCTTTTAATATTTTTGCGACGTCATTTTTTCATTTCAATGAATATGATGTCGCTCAATTTCGTCTATCCACGCCGTTGACGCCTTACCTACACTTCTGCTTCGAATATTTCTTCGTGGCAATCAGTACTCATTTGTGGGGAGTGTTTACGCTTGATTCAGGAATTTTATGTGGAGATTGCATTTGATGCAATTATATCGTAGTTGGCATTGGCAGCCGTCCAATGTACAATGCAATTAGAAATAATTGTTATTAACAATATCTCCGAACGGCTTCAAGTGGTGAAGTTATATAGTACGGAATTATGGGGCGGATGAGTCACTTGTTAAAGAGAGATCCATTGCTCCTCTCTCGTACATAGCTGTTCGCTCAATCATAGACTGCCATGGCTTCACAGCGAGTATTAACAACCTATTACTAGCCTTGCAGCAAACACAGTTTTAAACGCCATGAACCAACGACTAGGTACTTTGTTTGTTTTGTTGGTTCATGGTTTCAAACGTTTGAGAAAAATGTATTCCACAATTTGATATCAAATGTTTCTCTCAAATGATTTTCAAATTGAAAACGAGGTTTAAATTTTGCATCTTAAATTCATTTGAGGTTGATTTGAAGAAAGATGGCAAGTGTCAAACGATATAAAAATGCGTATTTAAATAAAAAGTTGTAAGAATAAAATTAAGATCAATTGAAAAAAAAACAATGAATAGAAAAAAACTTTCAAAGAGAAAGCCCACAAATAGTGGATTGGCTGTTTGCGCGGTATGAAGAAGCTGCGGGCTTTCAATATCTACGAATTTATTATAAATTACTTTATCTTAATTTTTTTTTGTTATGTACATACGTATGTACATCGCGAAGAAAAAATAAATATGAAATATACATTTCCTATAATAAATTTTATATCCACATTTGAAGTACAATTGTTTGAAATTATTTGAAATTGATTTGTAGATAACCATACTCTCAAATGGAGATAAAACCATGATAAAAATATTTATAATAATAATTATAATTTTAATATTTGTATCATTAATAAAACTCCCCTTTTTATTGAGAAAGCTGTAATTTTCAAATCATTTTCAAATGTTTGACATTTGAGAAAGGCTTTGATTTCGAATCATTCTCAAATGTATATCAAACCTAATTGTTTGCTGGGCTGCCGCCAGAGGCAACATGTAATTTTTAATTTTTGTCTTGGTTTTTATTAATTTCGAAAAAGCATTTGAGAAGTGAAGAACAAAAGCGTGGACAAACAAAAAAATATAACAACAATGCCATTGTTAATATGTTGGAGTAGTTTTGTGCTACTCTGATGTAATGCAGGGATGGAGTATATGGTCCTGCTCTAGGACATCGCCATGTTAATTGGACCATATTTTTTATATGAATGTGGTTAATTTTGGAGTACTCCTTGGTCCTTAGGGAGTACTCTTTACACGCATGCATGGAGTAGTCGCGATTTTTGCAGGGTAGGGTTTACACCGGACAATACTGTCATGACAATAGCAATACCCTGCCAGCATATTCTATTGCGGAAGTTACTTATTCGACACGACATTTCTGTAAAAATCATGCCGATGATATCGTTTTTTTCGAATTCTTATCCGCTCTCGGGAAGAACTGTTCCACCAAGACGTCACGTCTTTATGATACCAAAGGGATAGGGCAATTAGGAACTATTTCGATAGGAATTACAATAACTTGTCCGAAAAGGACTGAAGTGTTAAAGAAAATTTTTCTGTTGGTTAAGTTTTTGATAAAACGTAAAGGAAATTTAAGGTACCTTGGAGCTTGCAACCACAGCAGCAGAATTGCTTACGTTATTTTCATTCTGCATTCGGCTTTGATTGCTAGAAATTCCAACTAAACATTTAAAAAATCAGTTCCAAAAATGTATGGTAAAAAGGCATTAACATCTTTTTAAAATTTAAAAGTAATTTTATAATTTTTTGTTATTCGAATATGATTGCTTGCACGTTAACTGAAAAATAAAAAAAGTAAGTGCGCCTGGGCCACACTGGAGAAGTGAAACTTACGTTACATGCATATCTATTTTGTCTCATAACCAATCTGCTTTTTCTTAACGTTATATTTTTCGTCTTTTTTCTATCTAGATCCCTACCTCTACCCCTGTTCGTTCTAATTACACTTATTTTATTCTGTTTTTCTTTATCTTCATTTGTATATTTATACTCTTTCGATAACAATATCGATAGTAACATCCAATAAAATATCGACTACAAAACCGACGAAAATATTGATAACAAAATCGACGAAAAATTCGATAAAAATTTCGACAGCAAAATCGATAACAATATTGGTAGCAAAATCTATTAGAAACTCGATAAAAATAACCATAACAAAATCGATAAAAATATCCATTACAAAATTGATAAATATCGATAACCAAATCGACAAATATCGATAAAAATATCCATAACAAAATCGATAAATATCGATAACAAAATCTATAAAAAATTGATAACCAAATAGATAAAAATATACATTACAAAATCAATAACAAAATCGATAAATATTGATAACAAATCGATAATTATCGATAACAAAATCGATAAATATCGATAAAAATATTGATGACAAAATCGATAACAAAATCTATAAAAATATCGATAACTTAATCGATAAATATCGATAACTAACTCGATAATAATCAATAGCAAAATCGGTAAATATCGAGAAAAAAATCGATAAAAATATCTATAACAAAATCGATTATGATATCCATAAGTTCCGAAAATATCGATACTAAGATTGATAACAATATCGATACAAATTTCGATAAAGAAATCGATAAAAATAATAACAAAACGGATAAAAATCTCGATTATTTTATCGATAAGTCCAGAGAATCCCGAAAATCTCTAAAATCCCAAAATGGTTACCAGACTGAGTCTCTGTGTCTCTCTCTGTATTCTTTTCTCTTTAATTACCTTTATTTCAATCTTTCTTCCCCTATCTTCATCTTTACTTTTATCGGTACCTCTTTGTCTTTGCTTTTATGTTGTATCATTTTCTTCATCTACATATTCCCCTTCACCTTTGCCCTTATATACATATATAAGTAAAGTGATTAAAAATACCTTGGTCTTCATTACCTTTACCATTTACCTTTACCTTTACGCATCTTTGTTTTTGTTTTAATTTTTACTTTTGCCTTTATCATTTTCTTCATCTATGTACGTAGTCTCCTTTACTTTCATTCTTGTATTGGTCGTTTTCCATTCTTTAACCTTTTATTAGCAAATTTTTATTAAATTAATACCATATACATACACACAATAAGCACTTGTTTCAGCCCCAACCATTTCCGTTGCACCATTTCCTTTGCACCACTTCCGTGTGCAATTTCCGTTGAATTTGCCAATTTACTCCCAACCAACCAACCGCCGCTAAAGAAGTTTCACTTCAAAAATTAGAAAACAAACATATAATTTTACTTGATTCAGTCTATTTTCAAATCGTTTGTGTTGCAAAAAAAGGATATATTAATTTAAATTATAATAAGCAAATCAGCATACATATTTTATTGAGTTCAAAAAAGCATTAATGAAATATCAAAATTGTTTTTTAAATTACAAAAGTAGTTGCGTTCCCCAACTTTTCTGGGTTGAAACCTGTAAAACTGTCACAAAGCAAAAGAAGCCAGAGAACCGAGTACGGGAACGCTTTCTGGTAAAATCCTGTAAATTCTTGCAACTTCTTGCGAGTTAGGGAACGCAACTAGTACTTTGCACAATGTATGCAAAGTTTTTATACTCGGGCGCACTTGTGCACAACGCATAACGGTTCGCATAACAGTTGTTTGTAACAGCCAAAACGAATCGAGATAGATATGGACAAATGAATACATAAATGATCAGAATGGAAAGAGAAGTCGATTAAGCCATGTCTGTCTGTATGTCCGTCCGTCTGTTCGTCTGTCCGTGTACACGATAACGCGAGCAAAAATTGAGATTGCAAATGGGCGAAATCGCACTGTAACCTCGCCCACTTCCCATATAACGGTATTTTCAAAAAGAGCAAAAACTGCGATATTTCAGTAAATATTAGATGCGAATTTTTGAAAACGTGTATCTCGGTAACCTATTTATCAATTTCCACCAAATTCTGTGCACTTAATAACCTTGGTACGGAAAGGTAATTTGTTGAAAATATTCAAATCGTTCTAAAATTACACCCGCTTCCCGTGTAACGGCAAATTTCAGAAATACGAAAACACCAATATTTCAATAACTGAGGACGCTAATTTACTTTAAGTTAGTCGTTACAACAATCTCCTAACAATAAATGAGACTGCTATAGACTTATAGGAATTGGGCATAGCACCGCCCACTTTATAACTAAAAAAGTTTTACCTTCTTCGGAATTCGAATATTCGGTTTATCCGGATAGCTGGAAAATCCGGTTGAAGTTCCCATTCCTACTCTACGCTTACTTGCTATGACCCATATTAAACGCCATAGTAAAAATACTATCTTCAGCGGTCGCGAATCGCTACTTAGGTTGCACTGAACTCAAGTTAAACGTGAAAAGGAACAAAAAATAATTGAAAATGAAATGCGACACACAATAAAAAGCGTTTTGAGCATTTACTCCATTTATTTTACGAGTAAGAACAGGACTTAACTGTACAGCAAATAACAGGTATACACATAACATATGAATATTCATATTATCTATATCCTTGAACTGAAATAATTATTGAAACTCCAATAACTACTCGCCCCATTTTACTAAGAAAATATGCTTTCCACTGTTTTATTTTATGTTTTATAAATTCTTTTAATAACCTTAAACTAATTTTTTGCTTCTAGTGATTACTTGTTCAAATTATTGCTTATCGGCGACTCGGGCGTAGGGAAATCGTGCCTTCTCTTGCGATTTGCCGACGACACATATACAGAGAGCTATATTAGCACAATCGGAGTGGATTTCGTAAGTACAATTTTTTTTTAAGATACACCTGAAATAATGTATGTATGTATATTTATAAAAGTATTATTGCATTGCAGAAAATTAGAACCATAGAATTGGACGGAAAAACTATAAAGTTGCAAATCGTAAGTAGAAAAATGCGTTATTCTACTCTTTGTATTTCAAAAAGAACTTATTGGAGAAATAAACAAAATTTGTGTTGTCTTTATAACAGTGGGATACCGCTGGACAGGAGCGTTTCCGTACAATCACTTCATCGTACTATCGTGGTGCTCACGGTATTATTGTCGTCTACGATTGCACAGACCAAGAGTCTTTTAACAACGTAAAACAATGGTTAGAGGAAATCGAACGATATGCTTGCGAAAATGTGAACAAGTTGTTGGTAGGCAACAAGTGTGATTTGACTACGAAGAAAGTCGTCGATACAACAACAGCTGCGGTAAGTTTCCTCATACACATTTGAGTTAATTAGAAGATGCATAAGTTAATGTTGCTTTTTTACATATTAGGAATATGCAAACCAATTAGGCATTCCATTCCTTGAAACATCAGCCAAAAACGCAACGAACGTTGAGCAAGCTTTCTTGACGATGGCTGCCGAGATAAAGAATCGTGTTGGGCCGCCTTCAAGTGCCACTGAGAACGCCAGTAAAGTTAAAATCGATCAAGGACGTCCAGTGGAAAACACCAAATCCGGTTGCTGCTGAATAACTCCGATTGTGAAAGCATATACACACATTATTTTATTATACTAAAAACAAAAAAAATTGAAAATAAAAAAAATCACAACAAAGATGGTGATGATAAAGAAGCAAAGGATTATGCTGTAGTAATAATGATGATAATCTATGGTAACGATAATGACACGCATGTTAAGGGAACACAATTTATGTTGATAACAACAGAGCAACAACAACAATGATTCATAAGATATAAAAAATCAAATTTTTTTAAATACATACTTAACAAGAAAGAGTAATGTTATGACGGCGAACCTATAAAAAAAAAAAACCACAACAAACTGCGCGGAAAAAACTTTAAGTAAGATACTTGTAACTAATGTTTAAATGAAACCTAAATGTAAACAAAAGCGTAAATAACGAAGAAATGAAAAAATAGATGCGGGAAGAAAGCAAAAGTGTGAGCGTATCGTAGTAATGGAGATACGATGTAGTGTCTTTTCGGGCGTCGGAAAATTCCCTACCATTTTATAATTATTAAAAATCCATAGTATATACAAATTTGTGTTTATTAGTCAATTTGGTGGTCCAGCTAACCACTAATGGTGCATGGACAACCAAATTGCTGGAAATATTAGTTTATTACCTTAAATAAAAGTACATACGACATACGCAATTTAAATGAAATTAGTAAATTGGATGGTGTTTGTATTTATGTAATTGCAATTTGAAAATTTATGGAACAAATAGTGTACAGCGATGTGAACTAAAAAAAATAGGTGCTGCGAGAATATTTAAAATCTTCTTCAGTAATATGATGGTATGCAGGCAAACCTTGTTGAAGCACTTTATTCCACTCAGCACGGAATGGTTCTCTTTGAAGCCTAGACAGAAAATTAATAAAAACACAACGCATTATTATATTTTTTTTTTGTAATATGTACATATTTATTTCATTTTGCACTTAATCCACTATGATTATTTTACAAACATGTGTTTAGGAAACCTTTACAAAGTAACATTTATATAACATTTTCATCCTTGGAGGTGCTCAGTTAAACCGAAGATAACTTCTATATACCAAAAACATTATTGATTTTATGGTTTATCAGTCTTACCAAAAATGCATTTACCGCATTGTTCATTAATCATCGCATAGAATTTAAAATTTCTCATTATTCTTCGCAATTGTTTAGATATAATTTCTCTCTGCGCAATTTTCATCACTTTCCAGTGGGCATGCAGTTGTCACAGTACTTCTAGTTATATCGATAATGGCGGCACCTACCACAGATCGTGACCCCATAACTGCCCTAGGCCCGATTACTGACAGGCTACTACTTCGGTCCGATCCTGACGATGTTGAAATGGAAGAGTTCACCACAAATGTTGATTCACGTTTGAATTTGGGACGACGCTGGTCATAAGTAACTGACGTTTTGACCTCCATTTGCCGGCGATTGGTTGTTGTTGTTGTGGCAGTAGTTGTTGCCCCCTTATTGCCACGTCCAATAACACGATCCGTGCTACCTCCGCAGCAGGAAATGATCAAGCGCCAGAATCCAGTACGGAATTTCGAAGACATAAGATTGTACAGTATAGGGTTTAAAGCCGAATTTAAATACAACATTATACGGCAGAAATATAAAATACCATAATAACCATCAATGCCAAGACTTGCGATGTCCTTCGTAGGTGCAGTGATAACCCATAATGTGAATGCACGAAATGGCAAAAGGCAAATAAAAAAACTGGCGACTACGGCAACCAACATGAATATCACTTGTTTGCGATGTTTTCGCATACCGGTGCTAAGTTGTTGGGCTCCCACACCATTGGATGTCATCGGGAGTGGTAGTTTATTTATCGATTGATGGCGTAGAATAACCGAACTTAAACAGGTGGTGGGCGGCACGTGAGCAGCGGTGGTGGGGCGATGAAAGTCAATGTTGCGACGTAGAAGTTTGTAGGCGATTGCAGCATAGAGCACAACCAACACAATGAAGGGCAGAACAAAGAAGATTGTAATGCAAGTGATAAAGTAGAAAGCCGACCAAAAAGTTTCCGCTGATGTGAAGCATACAGCCACCTCAGTGTCATCGTAATAAAGTTCCATACGAAAGGTAGCGATTAGTACGATAGGACTACCAGAAGTCGGAAAAATAAGGATATAGGAAACGATAAGGTTAGTAAATGTGAAATAAGAAAGGAGTTACTTTCAGTTGGGCAAAGTACAAAATATGTTAAAAAATGAAAGACTTACAAAAAAATGGATGCAATGATTATCTATGTGTGTATAAGTTCAAGGAGAACAGCAAATCTTTCAAATCACAATTGACAACAATATGTATTGATTCATGCTTTTCTAACGAAACTTAAAACCGTGCTCATACTTAATTGCATTTATATACATACATACATATTTATATGTAAATTAATTTAATTGGGTTTTGTTTATTTGCATTTTACAGTGCATTGCTCAAAAGCATACCCGAGATGGATTCTAACGAAAAAATAAAGTGTTTTAAAGTTCACCTACCTGTACTGTATGTACATATACATATATGTACATTAGACTGTCCCAAAAAACCAAGATTTTTTTTTTATTGCATACCCCGTAATTTTATTGGTTTTGTATTAAACTATTTTATGGAATTCGGACCACGACAACCCGTGCCGACTGCAGATACAGTTATCATAAGTTTTTTGCATTTCGCGAGACTTTACTCTGCAATATTAGGGCATAATATTTAGTAAGTCTGCGTTTTTTGGCTTTTTACCAGGTAGTCGGGATTTTTTCCAAAGAATCATGAACTCAATTTCCAAACGTTTACACTAAATATGGATATATGAAAGAAAAATTCAAAACAAGATTAATTATAACTTTTGTTTTCGTTTATCCTTTGGAACATGAAAAATGTTCTTTAAAAATATTATCCTTCAAGCCTTTAATTTTGAATGCATTTCGAAGAATTTCAGCTTAATTTATGTCCTATAAAAATGTGTATATAAGGATATTAAAGGATACAAATTTCAAAGGATATCTTTCATAAAACTTATGTAAATTCTGACGTCCTATTAAAAATTTAAAGATGCAGATTTACTATAAATGCGTGGTAATTCTTTAAAATATCGTAAAACGGAGGGAAAACGGCAAAGTTTAGGTTTTAGGCACTATTAGAAAAAGAGCATAGTTATAATCTACTTTTATTGTTCTCCATTAGAATCATTTACAATCACATACAAGCTACTTTCCAGACCATTTATTTTCAGAGATAGACGATATCTATAAGATAAACTTCTTTAAATACAGATTTTACAGTTCAAAATACAGTCCGCTTCACTTCTTTTTTTTAAACCGAGCTTTTATGTAGGTATCAATCAGGGAAGCTTCTCTTTAATTACATTTCGAGGACTGAAAAATGTTGAAGAAATTTTGCGAAAAAGGGGCATTTTATTAAACAACACGATAAATCTGCTGGTGCCAGTAAATATACCACTTAGGGTCAGTTTTAGTTTAAAGGCCGTAGTTTAAACTAATATTAAACGCCCGATCTGGCTGGTTTAAACTAAGATCAGCCAATCGAATGCCTGCCAACTTTAAACTGGCCCTTAGGACCAGAGTTTAAGCTTAGATCCCTTAAACTGCATTTCTATTGAACAGCGGAAAAAAACAATCGAAGGACGCCGACCACAAAACTCGTTTTCAGGCGGTGGTGGATGAGTAGCAGGCCACCCAACACAATGATGCGAGAAACTGCATCATTCAGGATGAGACTGAAAGAGTCTAAAAAAATGTAGGTTTTCTGCTGACCAATCAGGTGCAGCTACTGCATCAGAGTCTCGGCGTGGCTTCAGCGAGGTGGCGAGAGATAGCAGGTGGCGCTTATAGGTGCGGTTTCCAACAAGGTGAAGCTGGTGTGTGACAAGTGGGAGGACATTGAGGCATGGCTGTCTCAATTGGTCATGGACAAGTCCTGGGAAGAGTTTTTGTTAGACTAAGAGTCGTTGGTTCATGCATGCTTCGTACAAGGATTGTAAACGCTAAGCTTGGCAACAGCGAAGTCATCAGGCGTCCTATACGAAAGATTCCGCAAGGCGGTGTACTGTCAACGCTGATGTGGCTCTGCGTATTAAACAATATGCTTCTACGAATCAACAGAGATGGGGTTACAGTTTTCACGTACGCGGACGATGTAGTGATTATGGTATCGCTCTGTTCTTGTGCTAAGTATTTGAGAGTCATTCTTACCCCGAAATTAAACTAGAAAACGAATTGTATTCATGCAAGAATATTATAGGTAAGAAGTGGGTGTACAAGGCCCAGCATACGGTTCGCTGGTTGGGTGGAAAGAGACGAATTACATATACCCAAAGCTAGGAAGGGTACAGATGTCAGCTTGCATTGCCCAAACATTCACAAACATCTGCCCGTCGCTTCACTTCAAGAAAAACTTCGAAACAATCGAAATGAGCTGTTTTTAGGTGAACGCTTCCAAACATCTATTTTTACGGGCGACTCAAAAACGAGTTATGTCATTGGGTCGTGGATTTTTTCAACCGACCTCCAACTTGGAAAGTCTACTTAAAAAGACTACCGTATTAGACCAGTGCTTTTTAGGCAAAAGTCTTGGCCATCAAAGAGGCGTGCAAAATAATTTTAGCCTTGGAGCTAGCAGGGACCCGAATAGCTATCTTCTCTGATAGCTAGACGCCGATTAAGGTACTCGGCTGTGCAAGTATCACATCCTGCACAATAAAACGATGCAAAGGCTACGTTACGGCTTTAGCTGATAGCTATGTCGTTGCACTGTTCTGGGTACTGGAGGTATAGCAGGATTCATGCCAACCAGATGGTCGACGAGCTAGCCATAAAGGGGTCGGCTCTGGATATGTGATTGGCAGAAGTGATTATTGTGCCCGTGAGCTTCATCGAGAGCCGCATCTCTCAGCACTGGAGAAAGGTGGCCAAAACAGTAGGTGGAAAAACTTTCAGTCCCATAGGGTCGGTAGGAATCTTAGGTCCACATATTGCGCAAAACGCTCTGCGACTCTCATAAAACTGAACAGCACGGATTTATCCCGACTAACTGCCGTCTACACAGGGCACTTGGCAGTGGGAATCCATGCTGCAAGACTGGAACTCAATACTTCTTGTCGTACTGTAATTAACCAGATGCAGACGAAATAGTGCAGTTTTGCTTTTTGTCGTAGTTTCTTTTTTTCTGTGGTTTTAAAACGGTGTACATATGTTAGTGCTAATATTAAACTCGCCAAACCAGCCAACCAACCAACCTAATAGCAATTGGGTATATGTACATATCGCAAAACCGCCTATCTTGCGGCACTAAAATTTCACAGGAGAGCGAAAAAACGGTTATTCTTTGAAGGCATTGCCTTGATAGGCGGTATTTTCTCTAGCTTTTATTATACAAATCTCTTGTTTTAATAACGATTTAACGATTTTTATGCATGAATATCTATGCCTGGAGTTCAGGGTTACCAAATCTCATTTTTCCCACAACCGCGATTTAGGCGACAACGATTCATGACCAAATCTAATTCCTTAAAAACCCTATCATAACCTTAAATTTATGAAAATATGAATTAAGCATGAATTAATTTATTCGGTTCAATAAACTCTACAAACCATTTAATACGTGCAACATACAAAAGTATGAATGTACTACTTGAAGTACAAGCTAGATTCCCCATTACTCGCCAGTACATATTTTTTCTTTTCTCTGCACATATATACATACATACATACATACATACACACAGTGTCGGTCATATCTATAGCACCCCCATTTCAAATTGATATTGCTTGCCACTTATATTTATTTATTTATTCTTTTTTTCATTTTTATTAAACATATAACCCAAGTTTAAAACTATGAAAACAACTAAAAAAAATGCATGAGTTGGTTTGTCATTTAATTCAATTTGTTGTTATGCTATATACATATGTCTACAATATTTGATTTTCGGTATTACCTAATGTATGTGTTTTTTGTATTCTTGTATATTTGTTGTAATAGATAAAATGAGCACTATCCCTGAGGATACTAAAAAAGTTTTAGCGAGACGTCAGTTAAAAAGAAGAAACAAGTTGGTTTATTCGCACCAAAACTCAAAAGATCAGATTATGTAGTCTATAAACATAAAATCAAATAAATTTGAACTGATTGGACAAAAAGATAAACACAGTTTATTTTTATATGGAAGAAAACCCCAACACCTTCGGCGAAACAAATTCTAAAAAATCAACATGCACATTATCAGATTAAGGGCCTTATTCTGTATCACGAACGATAGGCAAAACGAACGATTCGTCTGCAGACGACAACCTCTCTGATTGCGATTTTAAACTCTATCGGTCGTCTACGGCTTGCTTTTCATACATTACGTTGCAATGGTCGGTCTCGGTTGCATTTAAACCGGCTCAAATGATGTCGCCGGACTAATTTTTGAAGCATTCCTCTGCAGACGAATGGTTCGTGTTGCCTATCGTTCGTGATACAGAATAAGGCTGTAAAATTGTATGCGCTATAAAACTGTGTACTCACGAAAATTCCAACACTTCTGAGAAAAAAGTTTTATATTTGGGTGAATATTTCATTGCATTTTCTTGTGGTTTTCTACAAAGTTTTAAACTTGGGTTAATATGTTTTTTTTTTAGAGAATGAACATTATTTTAATTGAAAAGAACATCTCTTTGAAGGGGGAAGGGGGGTGCTATTGTTTCGACCGACACTGTGTGTATACCGACGTCACATTGATAAATCTTCGTGGTGGTTAGTAAACAACAATTACAAAAATTCAGGAGTATGAGAAAAACTAATCAAACTGAAGTCATCCATATTATGTGGATTTAGCTAAAATTCCCAACAATAACAACAAAGTTGTGGTCTCGTAAATGTTCTGTGAAATATTTTGGGTTGCTGGGAGCATTACATAACACATACATATGTAAGTATCTGTGTAAATACCTACATATTTACGTATTTGCAGTTTACATGCAGTCGGTATGCACATACATATGTATGTATGTACATTTAATGGATGTCCTGCGTTGAAAATTATCTGACACATTTTAAAATAAATTGACATAAACGCACATATGTATGTATACACACACATCCATTGTATGTATGTATTTGTGCTGGGCAAAAAATTTAAGTG